TTCTTCTTCTTGAATACAATCTCCATCGTCCACTTATACTGGTGCCGATCCTTCCCATCCCAGTGCTTTAGGACACCTTTGTTCGTGTACGTCAAAGGTCCCGACATCTTGGATCTCCATAGTGCAGGAAAGTCCTCAAATTATTTGGGATCAAACCCTCTTGTAAACTGCACTGGATCCGTATATCCTAGGATCTTTACACTTAGAAGGGAAATAAAAGAATAAATTTGTGTCAAGCTTCAACTACTACTTAAGCGGGATCTAGTCGCTTCATACGCACGTCCCCAGCAATGCATACGTTTGGTAAGCTCAAAAGCGCTTCAGCGCTTATCGCCAGTTGCCAGGTCCCAAAGTGTAACTATCTCTCCGTACTCCATGTAGACTTCGTCACTTACTCGAATCGGGGTTCCAACAGGCTCCACGCTCAGGCATCGGAGCAGCAGCAGAGACTGATCATTACCGATAATGATTATTACGTGCCTCTTGTTGCACCTCTTTGCGCCCGCTCCAGTGGCGCTTCATGATCACGGACGTCGAGATCAGGTTTTCTTGGTTTCGCTGGACTCCGGATAAAATCATGAGAGCATTTTTACAAACGCCGTTTAGCGACACCTGCAGCATATCGATATAGTATCTCTTAACTCGTAAAGTGACGGAGCTATACCCCAAACGTTAGTGGCCAAAATAACATGGCGCACAGTGTAAGTTCGCTCTGGGTTTTATGGTTTAAACTTGAATGTAGAATACGCAGCAGGGATCGCAAACGGTACTTAGCGGGTGACACAGCCTATCCACCTTAATGTTGTAGTCGCCATCGGGAAACCGATTATACCCATTTCAAAAGCACTGGGATTTTCGGGTACACACGCCCACTCGCAATACCGGTCACGTGGGCGTAGTAAAGCAATGAGGGTAAAATCGTCATTAGGTGTATTTATAAAAAGCTACGTGTGTTAAGAAATATATATTTATCACAAAAGGTCCGCATTAGTACGACTTACAAGAGCATCGTCGAGCGCCGATGGCTTTATACACTTTCCCGTTTTGGACATCTTAGCTCCTGCGCAAGAAACGTTGCTCTCAGACATGGTGCTGGATGCGAGTATGCACAAAATGGAACGTGCAACTCTGGCCAAATTGGGCAAACTAGAATTTCCCGTATTGCACCACCACTGTAACAGGTCTAAGTTAGCCTCCCCTCAGGCGAACAGGTCGATCCTCTCAGTAAGTGTTCAAATCGCGCCTTTAATTAGAAAGTTCACTGTTTGTCGTATATCGTTATCGCTCATATCGTGATCCCGATCCACATCAATCTACCAGTTCTCAATAACACATGACATGGGACGCTTTTCCTTCTGGCACTTATTCGGCAGGGACGAGTAAGTTCGGGTGGACTTACTAGCCGCCTGACGTACACCTCCTACTTCTCCATTATAGACATTAAATCCATATTTTGGCTTTCACAAAGGACCAACGGGACCGGAACCGGACTCGCCTAAGACGGGGCTTT